CGGTGATCGCATGCATGCAAGTCACCAAAGGTGCGTAAAATCAAAACCGAAAGGTGAAAACTCCCCACTCTTCTTGACATAAGGTGGTTGATTACGAGCGAGCGAGCGAAGCGAGTCTTTTCAATATAACGGAAAAATCTCAGTATGAGCGGCCCGGCCCGGTCCGGCCCGGCCCGGCCTGTAACGCTTTTGAGAGGCTTATATCTCAGCAACCGCTGGACCGATTGGCCTACGGTCTTTTTTGCTGGGTAGCCCCATCCCTTCTACCCCGTAATTGACTACTTTTGATACATCTCAGTGACCGTCGTGGCACGTGCCACGTGAAAAGTCAAGGGTGTTCAAGCTGTTTTGCAAAAGTAGTAATTTTGAGAGGCTCATATCTCAGCAGCCGCTTGGGCGATTGACTTGCGGTAATTTTTATAGGGTAGCTGCATCCTTTCTACCAAAAATAGGATACTCTCGATGCATGTGGGTCACCCCCAAAGCACGTGCAAAATACAACAATAAGAGGTGTCAAATTTGTTCCCATTTTAATAACTCGGTAATTACTGGGGCGATTTCGCTGAAACTTGGCATACAGGTAGGCACCCACCAGGCAATGCATTACCATGTGTTGCGGTTAAGGTGCTACTGCACGTGCGCACGTGCAGGGGGCGCTTCCAGATCTCGAGAACGGCTGGGCCGATTGCGCTCAAATTTGGTACACGGTTGGAGACCGGTTAGTAGGGTGCCGTGCAAAAGTCGGTTTGGACCCCGTTTGCACGTGCGCACGTGCAGAATGCCGCTTCCAGATCTCAGGAACGGCTGGGCCGATTGCGTTCAAATTTGGTACACCGCTAGCGACCGGTTAGAGGGGTGCTTTGCGCAAGCCCGTTGGAAGTACCCTCTCGCCCTTCCGCATGTGCAGGGCTCACTATCTCGCTCGCTCGTTCTTCGCCCAAAAGGCGTTTTACTGGTAATATCTTCTTCAACGTTTATGTTGAAATGACAATAAACGGACCACACAACTTGAGTTCTCACGATTTCGAACCGGGTTGGTGGTGGTTAAAACATTTGGAATGTCCTTTGGCACGATATGTTTTTATGTTTCGGATGATCGGCGACGTCAAAATATGTTCCTCCTACCAGCCACAACAGAAATTTCAGACACCGGATCGCCCAGCTGATTCGGCACTGAAGAAGGGGCTCAGAGGTCGAACCGTCCACCGGCCGCCACATCAGCTGAGGCCCTATGCACCAGATCAGCACTATTCCGCCTACAGCCCGGGGCGGATATGCCCCGGCTGTGGGCTAGTGTTGCACATAGCCGGGGTTCGGAGTAGAAACCCGAGCCGTCTCCGGCGGCGGACATGCACGGTGGAGGCCCAGTGGAGGCACAGTTGGTGCCGACTGCCGGTCATAGGGAGACGATGCGAGAGCTATGTCCGCAGAATCTTGCGCAGAAAAGACCGAAAGGTGGTTTTTATAGCTAGTTATCGAAATCAAAACACTGCGAGTGCACAACCCGTCTGCAGCCTCAAACCCGTCTAAAGCCGAAAATTCAACAATGGGCGGAAAATGCCAGAAAAGCTTCACTCAGAGGTACAGATCTTGGCGTGTGCGTGTGTGATTAGACACTACTCAGCTTCTGGGATGAAATCGATCGCTGACTGTCTCTGAGATCAATGCCGATCTCTGAGATCGATGCTGGGATGTAATGGAGCATGTCCCTGCCGGGGGCTGTTTACCGAAGCGGCACACGGGTGCTGGAGCCGGTCCCGAGGTATACCGTCTGCACAGTGCACGGCTGAGATAACGGTCCCGCCCGCCGACTCATGCTGCACTGGACAGGAGGGCAGCCGGCAGGCCAGTCACGGCCAGGGGCCCGGTCGGCCAGACCCAGACCAGACCCAGACTAGACCAGGCACGGTCCGATAGCCAGGATAGACCAGAGAGCAGACCTGGTCACAACCAGCGGAGCAGGGGCAGGCTCGGATTACAGTCATGGGAAGCAGAGCAGGGACGGTCAGGCGTCTGGGTAAACCGAACATGGTCTCAGCCACGGTCGAAAAGTCGTAAGCCTCAATTTGGACAACAATTCTTAAAATATACTATTCACCAAGTAAACTAGGTTTTGGCATAGGTACACGTTTTTACCTTAATATATCCAGTGAGGTACCTGTCCATTACCTACGAGTATACTCAGAGTAGGACGAGTTATAATGCAACGTCACCATTCCGCGAGTAAATGTTATACCTACACTAAATGGAGACTACACGGACAATGGGATCATGACGCCGAATCGCGTGACCCACGTGCGACCATGTCAGGTGAGCCGGCCGCGCCGCATAAGCAGCCCTTGTCCGGCACAAGGTCGACTGCTTTCAGCACCAAAGGCGAAGGAAATCAGCAAACGGTGCAGTTCGATTGGCTGGCCGAGGCGTCGATTTTGAAGTCAAATGCCGGAGAAATATGTAATTTGCAATGAACAGCTGGTCGTATAAGACCAACCGTTTCGGATAGGTAGGTATAGGTAACGGGGCTGCACAACAGGGAGTCTGGACTGCTAATATACTCAACGATCAGTAATCATCTTATTGATCCGTACAGACAGGATGGGGAAATGACAGTCGTGAGAGTCGGAATTCGGACGTCAGCTGCGGCGTCACACATGGAAATTCACGACTGCAAGGAGCGTCACCATGCCTTTCCACTCACGGAACAGTCTGTGTATGTAGGTACACTGATACATGTATCATAAATTATCAAATCAATCCGACACGGCGCTCGACACAAACTGTAGCATTGAGATTAGATGATGGTCTTGATTTCGGGCTAAAAAAAATAAATAAAATAAAGGCAACTTATATATCATTATCGTCAATAATGGACTTGCCGCGTTTTTAAGATAACAAAAACGTTATACGCTCCGCGCAAACGGTCTTCACGACTAAACGCACGTTTGAGTGATATGATATGACTGTTTACTGTACGGACAATCATAGGCAGCAGTGTGCAGTTAGGACACGATTCAACTTTGTCAAATTCGTAATCAAAATAGTATAAGAAGGGCAGGGGCGCGGGAACTACTTTCCGACTGGGGGGGGGGGGGGCACACCATAATAGAGATTAACCTAGGGTACCCCCAAATCTAGTTTTCTCACCGGTTTTAGGCCATTTATTTTTCACCCCTCGGCTTTTTCAACAACAAAAAAAGAAAACATTTGCAAAACAAGTGTGGTATTCCGTCTCAAAGCTGTGGGGGCACCGCCCCCACGGCCCCAGAGTTGGGGGGGCAAGCTGCCCCCACTGCCCCCCCCGGCTCCCGCGCCTATGAAGAAGGGCGATAAGAAATGGGACATGCTGCTTACAACTGGATAAATATTACTCGTAATGTGTACCGTGCTCTTATGTGAATTAAAGTGACCATCCCAGTTTTGACCATAGGCGCGGGAGCCGGGGGGGCAGTGGGGGCAGCTTGCCCCCCCAACTCTGGGGCCGTGGGGGCGGTGCCCCCACAGCTTTGAGACGGAATACCACACTTTTTTTGCAAATGTTTTCTTTTTTTGTTGAAAAATCCGAGGGGTGAAAAATAAGTGGCCTAAAACCGGTGAGAAACCTAGATTTGGGGGTACCCTAGGTTAATCTCTATTATGGTGTGCCCCCCCCAGTCGGAAAGTAGTTCCCGCGCCCCTGGTTTTGACTCGAGGTAGCCAAATTGGGGTCCCTGGCTTGCATTTACCGGTTTGGGCACTCACAACATCGATAATTACTTTAATTCGGAGATATTTAATTTCAAACTTGCAGTTTTCAGATTCCAAGGGTTTGAATGTTCCCTTAGAATTTGTGACGTCATCGCAGATCCAACGGTTTTTTATCTTATCGGTAAAACCATCGGTAAAACGTGGTGGTATATAGGTACTGCTTTGCGCGCAACATCTGCCGCACTTTTAGGATGCCAAATTATTGCTTCTAAATGACGTCGTAGGAACAGCGGAGGTCCCAAAAATAAACAAAAGTAAAAGTTTAATATCTTGAAAACCAGGGAATATATTTTGGTGAAAATTGGTAGATATTCATTTTTGATATTTTGGAACGACGGGACATCGTTTTTATGCCAATTCATGAACTTTAACAATGTGGGAGGGTCCCTTCAAGTCGCAACATTATTGTACCGTTCCGAACTTAGGCGAAACATTAATTTCCCGAACGCCACAACTGAATTAAACTGCTACGTCAGTTTTGCTGTTTGCAAAGTAGTAATTCTTTCTCGATTTTAGTGTCTTGTGGACTTTAAGCAGGCAATTTGAATCGGTCAAGCGTATCCTTTTCTAAAAGGTTTTTCTTTGCAACTGAGAAAGATTTATTTTAGACAATGGTAATTTCATGATGTCAGGACACACGAACTTCTTCCATTGCTTCTTTAATCCATCACATCTCTCCTTTCCATTTCTTTGTTGAGTTTTTCTAAAATTATTAATCGATTTCAAGGAAGAGGAATGAATCTTCCAGCCATGACTCACGAGAAATAACATTTACGTTGATTGGTCCACCATTGTCTTCTTGGTCTTTCATGATGTTGAATGGAAACATCAATGTTTACCGGACGGTCCAAACAGATAATCCAAATCGGTGAACGGTAAAAGACCTGGTAAACTGCTCAGCGACTGCTTTACGGACGAACGACGTTGCGATGAAGACGGTGCACGTGACAAGTATCATGAGAACGAATGTAAACAAATCATCCACCGGGACTGTAAGCAGATTGCTTCCTTCCCATTAATCTTCTTTGCAGCGATGAATTGCAACATCCATCATAGTCACCCAGCACCCCTCCCCGGTCACTGCCATCAACCAACCAACCCTCCCTCTACCCTCACAGACACCCCTCGGCCCTCGCTTCCCCACGCCCCCCCCCCCCCAGACGTCCCTCCACGAGCTCCCACCTTCACTGTGCACACCCCATGCTCGCTTTCCCCGTGCACTGCTGAACTATGACGTGCTTCTCATTCTGTTTCAGGGGACGATGGCGCGGGGCGGCAGCGGCTCGGCGGCGCCGGCCGCCGGTGCTGCCACCTTCCGGCTGACAGAGGGCGCCACCATGACGCTGCCCGACGGCTGCACGGCCACCGTTCGCCAGGGGGCGCTGGAGCTCTCGGACGGCCAGCGACTGGCGCTGCCGGAGGCCGGCGGCAGCGTCACCATCGAGCGCAGGGTGGTGAGACCGGACGGACGCGCCGCCCTGGTCCGGCATACCATCCGCGTGGGCGAGGTATCCGCCGCGAAATCAGATGGAGACTCAACGCCACCGGGCGACAAGGGTACCGCTGAGGTATCGGAAAAGGACAACAAGGAGACCGCTGAGGTACCAGTACCGGACGACAAGGTCATCGCTCAAGGACCGGAGCAGGACAAGAACACCGCTGAGGGACCAGCACAAGACTACACAACATCTTCCGAGGCACCGGCAGAGAACAAGGGCACCGTTGAAGGACCAGTACAGGACAACGCAACGTCTCCTGAGGTACCGGCACAAGACGATAAAGAGACCGCCGAGGTACCCCCACAGGAAAACACAGCAACCGCCGAAGTACCCACACCGGAAGATAAGGGAACCGCTGAGGCATCAGCACAGAATGACACAGTAGCCAGTGAGGAACCGGTACTGGTACCGGGCAGTGCAGCGGCCGCTGAGGTGCCAGTAGAAGCTGGTGACGTACCAACCGATATCCCGGTGTCGGAAGATGAAAAAGCGACTGAAGTACTGGAGAACAGCAATAAGGCTTTACCCGAGGAGCCGATACTGACAAATGCGGCACCAATCGAGGTACCGGTACCAGCCAATGATATACCGGCCCGGAAACAAGCATCAACCGATAATACGCCATCTGAGCTACCGGAAGCGCAAACCGAAGAACCAGAGTCAACCAATGATGCATCGTCTAAGGAACCAGTAAAGAACGATGTTACACCGGCTGAGCAGCCGGTTCCCGCCAATGAGACACAAGCTGAAGAACCAGTTTCGACCAATGAGAGTTCAGATGAGGTGAAGGAACTGATCGACCAGGACTCGACCGAGGCACCTGCACCGTCTCATGGAAAGTCGCAGGAGGTCCCAGTACCGGCAGAATCCGACGTAATCTTACCAGCAAACGTAATCACAACAGCGACAGAGGACGCCGCCAGTTCCAAGGAAGCGCCGAATGAAGAGCAGACTGAAAGTGCTAATGTGCCAGACGAAAGCCTGACAGAATCACCGTCGGAGGAATCGACTGCGCCATCCACAAACAGTTCCAAGGAAACGCCATCAGACGTATCGGAAATAGCTGAGAAACTGTCGCCAGCCGAGGCCAAAAATAATCGTCCAAGTGAATCAGCAACGCTTAGCTCAGCCAAGGATTCCACCTGTATGCCTGTCGAAGAACCAAGCGAAGCACTGATGCAGGACCAGACAGGGTCACCAGCTGAGACTAGATGTGAAACAACGGAAGAGGTAAAAGATACAACACCTGAAAAAGCGGATGAAACTCAGCGTGACGAAGTACCTAAGCTACCAGCCCAAATACTACTCGAAGAAAAACGGGGAAACGACGCCGAGAGCGTCGATGCAAATGATAGCCGCTGCAAAACGGATATACCTTCAGAAAATCAATCTCAAGGTATGCAACCATCGGCCTCAGGGAGCTCTTCGTCGCCTTTAAGGTCATCATTGAAAGAGTGTCTTACTCCAGTGGCGGAAGACCAGGAACCTTCCTTCGACAACAATGCAGCGAAGCTCAGTGATAGCAAGCAACCATTCTGTGAATGGACCAGCAACAATTCGATCGAGACAAACGAGCCGGATGCCGCTGCTCAGGTTGACAAGTCAGACGCTGATAAAACATCAAGTCAAGGTGAGAGAAGCGAAGAATGCGATACCACCAAAAAGACTGAAGCTGAAACCGAGGACGAAAAAGAACCTGTCATAGAACACCGTCTGGCCCATCACGATAGCCTACGACTGCCAACGCACGTGCCACGCCTTCGGAGACGCAGCGAAGACGAGGGTGGCCAGATCGACAGACACAGCCCTTGTGGCAGGAAAGCCGTCGCGCACCTCAAGGATCCATTCAAGAAACGTGAAGAGGACGAGGCGATGCGTAATAAGCTTAACTCTATTCTGCATAAACTGGGGTACGGTATTTATGGCAGTGAAGGCGATGACAAAGAGCGTGCTTCAGGGGAAGGCGGAGGAACTGAAGCTGCAGGGCCTAAGCAGCACGGCCCCTCAGGTGAAAGTGTAGAAGGTCCGGAGGAGCCAGAGCCCGTCTCGGTGCCGAAAGTTATCAGCTACTTTGAGTCCATCACGCCTCAAAGAATGGAGAGTCCGGTAGAGAAGCGGAAGTGGCGAAGCTCCGACCGTTCACCCTCAGCGCTACGAGCTCAGAGAAGTGCGCGGTCCCCTGAGCCGTCACGCTCCATGGAGAAGTCTCCAGGAAAACAGTCCCCGTCACTGCGCCGAGTCAACTTTGCACACTCGGCGCAGAGGGTGTTGATCAGCAGCACATCTGAGCCCGATGAAATGGAACACATTCCCATCCCTCATCATGAGGACTCCAGTCCAGAAATAATTCAGCCTTGCCAAAGGGAAGTGCAACCCGTTGTTACATCACAACCAACTAGACTGAATACGATCCTCGCTCAGAGCCCACCAGATAATAACTCAGAAGATCCTTTGACAGCCTCAGATACAACAGGAGATCGCACAAAGGATGAAGACCTGCCTAAAATACCTGCAACGCCTGAAAAAGATACCGGAGAACCAAGTGATATCCAAAAGAGGGAAGCCTCACCACAAGCGTTGGTAAGCAGCGTCACGGAAGTAAACCGGGGTGAGACGGAACCGTCTAAATCAACACCAAACGAATCCCCAGCCACACAAAGCAAAGACAGCGTTGACAGTCCAGGACCAGATGAGACCGCGGAAGCCTCGGAAACCACTCCATTAATAACCTCGTCTACCGCAGAGGAACTCAACCAGCCCACATCTGGCGGAGACAGCAAGGCTGACAGTGGAGTCACCCCCCTCCAGGCGGAGCCATTGCCCCGGCCCTCGTCCGTGGTGATCCAAGGTGAACTGCCTCTCAGGGACTTCACCACGTCACGGACAGGGGACCCCACAGAACTGGAGGAAGGCGCCTCTCCAGTGCTGCTGATTGACGAGGGGACCGAGGAGGCTGTCGATGGCGGAGCCAGGGACCCGTTCCTCCCGGATGGCGTGGCGGATCGTCGCGATACCGTCAGCAAGTCTTCTAGCTGGTTCGAAGACTGCTTGTCATTCTGCTGCTGTTGCTGGGGACCTTGAGCCACCAAATGCTCCTGGGGTTTAAGGTGCCGACCAGTGAGATATGTGATGTAGGTAGTATAGGTGTACGTTTACTGAATGTGTGCATTGTGCAATGAATCTTCAGCTTCTTACGTGTACGTCTACTGAATGTGTGCATTGTGCAATGAATCTTCTGGCCAAAGCTGCGCAATGGAAACGTTCGACCTATTAAATGTATTCATATGACGCCAGCCTGGGGTTATTTGAAGTCGTCATGAGCTAAGGTAGGCTGGAATCCGAATAACATGCAGTTTAATTCAGACGGTATCAGACCGTCAGTCATCAAATATAGGAAATGTACCTACATGAACAGTAGGTACACGTATTATGAGCTTGTATGCCGCGGCCCGCCCGTGGGTAGTGCATGGTTTTAGGCGTGCGAAACAGAAATATATTTGGGTAACAATGCAGTTGTGCCGAGATGTGGATTGCAGTGTCACTGCTAACTAATCAAAGGATTGTTGAATTTGGTTGTGCGAGTGTGCGAACATGCGTTACTGGTGGAAAGGTAGCCTAGTAGTCCATTCGGTTCTTCTTTAGGCTATCGATGCTGATAGCTGATGTTAATACATCAGATATGCCTTAGTACCAATTCAAGATAGTTGCTGACGACAGTCATTCACAAGATAGTCATTCACAAATCACAAGTGCTCGATATAGCTATGCAATATGTTTATCGATATGTCGGCCGGTGGGAGAATGTTTCGTCTTGTGCCACGCATTGCAATCGAGGTAAGGTATATACTCATCCACCGAATCGAAAGCGACAGCTTTGCGCGGCAACCCTCCAATACAAGCATGTGCCTATCCATACTGTATGGCCTATCCATACCGTATGGCGTATAGCAGACCCGTATGGCGTATAGGTAGGTACCTATAATGCCTGCAAAGTGTTGTAAAAAGAGCAATAGTCGAGAAGTTGCATGTATTCATTGTCATGCCTCGTTTGTAAATATCTTGAGCGTGTGTCATTGCGAGCTAAGAAAACATATGCATAAATACAGAACTAACTGGTGATTATCTGACCCGTGGGTGCGGATGTTTTGGATCCATTCTCTGACGCATCCATCCATTTTCACGTGTATGCAGCGGTTGTTGACGGATAAATAAAGCAACGTACCGAAGTAGATGATTCAAGGAGAATGGACCCGCCGAAAACAGATAAGAAGCTATGACTTCGAGTAATCGCTATCGTAATCGCTTTCCAACAGACACACCACTAATAATGTTCAGAGGAACCAGTTGTATTCGCTCGTGGCGGACCTGCTGATCCACTCCGGAGCCATCTACGTTCCGGCCGGCTGTGCCGTCCCTACCTATAGCCTTGGTCCCTACCACACCGCATGTATTAGGGGCCAAGGTATGGCTATAGGCGATAGCGGCTATAGGTATAGGGCCAAGGCTAGGGGTCATCTCAGTGAATATAAATAGGGGTCATGATGACCCATCCCGGCCGCTCAGAAGTGATCAGTCACGTGACCGGCCGGCAGCTCCCGGCAAGGTCGGCTGCATAAAGTAATCTTGGGCTGCATCGCCCGAATATCAACCGAAACTCTGGCATTCGGAACCATAAACGGCGTAACTCCAAAGCTGCTTGCCTGATCAAACCAAAGGAGGTACAAAACGATTCCGCGTCACAAGGCGAGGGACAGCAACTAAAAATGACTCCCTATGGCATGACCTTCAAGATCAAAGTCAAGATCAAGGCTAAGTATGTCATGATCAAAGGAAGGGTTACCCCAGCCAGCAAACTCGTTTGGCTCAAATCCGTTTTGCCTCGGCAACTACGACATTCCAGGATTGGGCCGGTGTACATAAACGGAACGCCGTCGAAACAAAGGTTGCCGTAGTGCTCCGGAGTTGGTGTGGTTTCGGACCGCTAAGTCCGGCTCCCTGCCACGGCGTGCTACGGCCGGGTCCGGCTGTCTCGTAGCTAGCAGCTGCCTGAGCTGTTCTGGCTCTGTGGCTGAAGTACGGTTGAGGTACGGCACGGCTGATACGGCATAAGTCCAGCCGTGGTGCGGGTGAGCTCTGGGATCACGTGTCAGCTCCATTAGAAATAGAGCCCCAGACCTTGCCCGTACCTCGGCCTGTGTAAAGGGCCGGGGCTAGCCAGAGTAAAATCAGACACAGCCCTGGATCAATTTTGCTGACTGGGACGCTGCAAAAATGTAGTCTCTTGATTATCGGATACTATGGGAAAGTACCGGATACTTACCACGTCACGGCGCAGCTGGGCGCAGCGATGACATCAAGCCCAAGGCTGCATAACAGATCAAGCCCGACCGAAGGAGGGCTGCAAAAATAGAGTCACAGACTTGACCAAGACCGACCAAGACAAAGAGGGTAGACGAAGGTGACGGAAAGGAAGAGGATTTGGTTATATAAAACATCTACTATGAACGTCAAACCCCTTGAGACCCCACTTTTTTGCGATAATTTTTAAATGCGTCAACTTTCGTTGACAATATTCTGGCAATGTATGTTTCAGAACCTGCCGAAACTTTTATTACTAAGGTATTTTGACGCCAAACGATTATGGAAGGTACTTCTCATTCACTCGTAATGCTAAGGTCAATTCAGGCCCGGGCAGAGGCTTGCGCTCGGCCACACTCGAGCCCCGCCACCAGCGCCATCTGCTCTACATGCCATCTACCAGCGCCCGCTACCGCTACCAGCTACCGCCCACCATCAAGCCTGAATGGAGCGAGAGACGCGAGTGACCGGTCGCCGGGCAAGGAGCGCCGGAGGGGTAGGGCGGAGCTTAGCGCTGACGTCATTACGTCGCTCCGCCCCATGAGCGCGTAGCCTCTACCCAAGCAGCAGATTCGTTCCGTGAAATTTAACATTACGAGTGAATGAGAAGTACCTTTCATACTCGTTTGGCGTCAAAATACCTTAGTAATAAAAGTTTCGGCAGGTTCTGAAACACACATTGCCAGAATATTGTCAACGAGAGTTGACGCATTTAAAAATTATCGCAAAAAAGTGGGGTCTCAAGGGGTTTGACGTCCATAGTAGGTAGGCATCCGACTGACGAGAGGGCTGAACCGATTTTAGCCCCTTCGGTTCTCAACGGCTAAATAGGTCCCTTCCGCGTGGCGTGTTGTGTTACTTTCAATAGATTGAAATTTTAAGTAAGTGACGATAGTATCTGTAAGAATTTTGAGTGACGATAAGCCACCGATAAGCATAAAACAACAGTAAAGGTTGAGTAAAAAACAACCACTTGTAGCAATGATAGACTATTTTTGGTAAAATAAATTATTTGATGACGTCACAAGTTCTGATGGTGATTGTCCATCCATAATATGTAAGCACTGCTAGAAAAGCCATGATTTTAAATAAATTCTATGACGTAATTTTATTATAAAACTAACTCTTTCAAGACATTGAGTGGCGCACACCAATTGCCTCCCACGCGTTCTTTTATACAAAACACCTTCGCCGGATTGTTCAAGGGTTGCTGTGGTGTGCTGTTCTTCATTTAAGATCGAAAAGTAATTAATAGGATAATAAAATGGCTGAAGACATGAAAGCTGCGGTTAGCGCTCTGCTAAAAGGAATAGATCGGTAAGTTGTTAGAGCTCCGGGATTGACTAAGCCAGCCTACTAGTTGGCACCCCAAAGTTGGGGAAGCTACGAGGCGGAGATCCAAGAATGGATCAGTCAATAAATAGACTTTTGATGACCATAAATGGGATTAAATGCAGCCGCTGGTACTAAGGGTGAAAAGTGGTTAACAAGCCGGTACTTGCGGTATCGCATCCACTTATCGCAGAGAAAAAGCTTCCATTTTCCTCTAGGAATCAACACGATTTGATCAAATTCAGTGAATTCACTCGAAAATGGCGATAGAAAACGGCCTTTCTACAGGTTCCAGGCGTCACAATCCGCTGGCCATTCCATAGGTATATAGATAGGTATTTTGAAATAAAATTGTTTAAAAGATCTAATTTGATTACAATAAATAAAGATATAGAAATTTAAGATAATTATTTAATTACACTTGGAAAAAAAACATGTACAAAATAATAGAAATAATGACAATTCAAACCTTGGTGCTGCTTACATTTTTTGGCGCGTCTGTTTCAATCCGCCATATTTGCCAATCACTGTTTGACCTTGTATTGTAACTCTGCGATTTAGATCCGCCAGTGCATCGTTCACCGAGTGAGTGTAGGCCTTCACCTTGTGTGGTTAAAAAACATTCTTATGCCTTATTTTTTCATTTGAATGCAATGCCAGGATGCATGGAAAAGATGAAGTTTTCTGATTTTATGATCATATATGGTCATCGCCCCGCCCACTCCAGCCGTTGATTGGCTGATCCAATTTTAGTTCTGCGCCTTGTAGTTTCCTCAACTGAACCCGTGTCCCGTACCCCAAGGCCCAAATTGAAATCGCACGAGAATGAAATGAAAGTAGCGGTAAATTGATATGAATCAATAGGTACCCAATACCCATTGAAGTGATTTAGATAGCTGTCGATCCTTTTCCATCTTTTGATATTGTCTTTGTTTCTTCAGGTACAACCCGAACAATGTTGTGATGTTTGAGCAGTATGTGGACCGCCAATGCCAGGACAACACATATGACCTGGAGGCCAACCTAGCCCTACTAAAGCTGTACCAGTTCAATCCGGACAGCTATAACCAGGAGATCACCCAGCGCATTCTGCTGAAGGCCATCACCAACCTGCCACATACAGACATCATCCTCTGCAAGTGCCTGCTGGCATCAGAAAATGTGAGTGATATGGTATTTTCTGTGGGATTTAGAGGGGCTTGTATTGGAGGTATGTAACATGGCCCGGCTATTTGAACCTATATTGACATTATTGAGCCATATGCTTAATGTTTGATGTCCCATGTCAATGAATAATCACTCCCATGTCTGACAGCTGCATTGCTTTATTTTAACTTCCTTAATATGGATTGGAGTAGGAGGGTATGTCAATCCACTTTTCAATGACATACCTACATACTCATTTGCATGCCAAAGTACCTACATATTGTCCAAATACGTAGGGAAAAATGTAGGGCAAAAGTATTCAAGGAATAATATGCAAGTACAAAATTATGTATGGCGAAAAACCCCAATATCAGTTGGGCAAACTAGGCGGTGGGAATCAAAATATGGAGGCATCAAAATATTGATTCTCTTTGACCATATATGGGCATACGTGCAGACCATCACAGGAACGTCAATTCTTCAGCAACCGGCTATAATTTCAAGATAGCTTCTTCACAAAATGAAGAACAACGTTGAAGCTACCCGCCAGGCACGAAACAATAGCCCTAACCTCTTTGGTTAGTTAAGGAAAGCGTCTTAAAAATAATCAAGATATTGATTCATCACGGCGGCTAATCCCGGCGAGAATCAATATTTTGATTCCGCAAACAGCTGGCTAATCATTATTTTGATTCTGAAATCAGCTGGTTTATCAATATATTGATTCTGCAAACTGACTTTCTGCAGGCGTACTTAACTCTTCAAATTGATTTATGGAATGTTTCTTGTGTGCAAATAATGCAAATTCAATAAATTCATGAAGATATTATCAGCACAGGATCGTGTAATTTTTTTCTAGACCTTATTCCCACGGTAGACCAGGGATTTTCAGCACTCGCCCTGGCTCCCTGCTCAAAGCTGCAAGCCTTCGAGGGAATGCGTGAAGGGAGCCGTGCTGACCTTTGTATAGGGGTTGTACTGAGTCGGAGCCGGAACCGAAGCCCGACCATTTTACTCGGAGCCGGAGCCGGAGCTGGAGCCGATTTTTTTCCTCCGGAGCCGAAGCCGTCTGACATTTTCACGGCCCCACATCCCTGCTTTGTAGTATTGATTTTGAGTAAAAAAAAGTTAACATATCGTCTTTCACGTGTTCATGAATGTGTTTCTACGCATCTGTATCCCGTCCCATTTCTGTGGAGTACAGTAAGAGATATTTCGCCGAACGATACACTCAGCCCGTTGCACAAATTGCACAATTTGAATGAAAATATGATACACGGATGTACTTGCAGTCGCAAATAATACGATGATATTCATAACACATTTCACAACGATCCCTGCAATTGCCACACATTTGCCATCACAAAGCCCTGTCGTTGATGCTCACATCCTATGCAAAGCAATACTCACTTTTAGGACACGTCTCTTATTCAATATGGCTACGTATTTGCAAAACATGCAGTTAATAATATTTGAAACAGACCTAACCAATAAGACATACCGTGGACAGGTAAGAAAAAACAAATAAACGTCTGGAGAATGACCTCAACGTCTCGATGTTGCCTAATTACTGAGAGCAATTTTCGGTTTCGAACCAAATACATGAAATAAATATAAACAAAATTTGTACAGATACACTCAATATAGGGTTTATGATTAGCACGGCTACCTAAAACATCAATCCTGTCAGGTTGAGCCACTTATGTCCACACCCAAAGCAGGTCGCTTTGGAACACCACAAGATCCCATAGTACCACCGAAAACGGTCACCAATTGGTCTACTGATCAGCATCTTCAGAACATTCTCGACCGAAAAGCTATCAGTCCTGTCTGTGTTTTGGTTCGCTTCATTTGGGCTTTGCGCACGTTTTTCTACTCCGGTTCTAGGGACGAGATAGCAGTCATCACGCGCTGCACCAGCTCGTTCTTTGACAGGTTGGTGACGCTGTCGTCATCCGGCAGGATAAACACGTGGCGCATTTCACCCTCGGCCCCGCCAGCCACATACACACTTCCTTACGTCATATTGTTTCTCGCCACGAGATCAAAGTTCAAAAGGTCGTGATGTAGGTAGTCTCCGCCCAGCCCGAGTCAGGTACTCCACCGGTTGGTCGGGTGCGGCCAGGTCCGCGCAACGCCGCCCTACTTCGGTCGACGCTCTGGTTGACAAGGATGGCGTTGTCATACAGTTGCCTGTCGACTGAACAGCGATTCAAGACGCCATCCTTGACCCTCTGAAGCCGATCCCCGCAACGACCAGTGTTTGATCCTTGGTTGACCTGCAGCAAACAGTCAACAGAACACAATAATTAGGACATTTGTGGACAATATTAAGGAAACTATATGTGTCATTATTCTACTTGTTCAGCAACTATTAATTTTAGAATATATTCAATAAAAAATTACAGTGTCCCAAAATTGAGTTTTGTCTTGGGTGTCAGAGGGGAAAATTACCCACCAAAAAGAGGGGAGAGAGTGGAAAACTGCTGATTCGATTAGATCAAAAAGGAGTGAGAAATGACAAAAAGCATGCATTTTATTATAGGGTGTAGAATGTTTGATGCTAACTGGGCATCCACACAACTGTCTTTCTATAGGTAAAAAATCTATGTTTTCTTGGTTGGGACTTGGGAGTGGAAAATTGTTCTTAAAAATGGTGGTGAGAGTGGAAAATGAATTTCATTTGGATGTCGTTTCCCACCCAAATAGACAAATTTTGGGACATTGAAAAATTAAAGACTTAATGTCACTTAAATTTCCACTGAACGCCACCAGTTGCGCCAACAACTGTCATCTCATGCAGTTATATAAATTCTGCCAAAAAAGTAGATCTGAGGCCAGTTGTACCAACAGAAAAATAGGTGGCTGCTGGATTTTTTTTTTGGTCTAAAAGTTACTTCACATACAGAGCATGAACGGTACAGCCCTATCCGTTTACGTGCCCATCATGTTAACGCTCCATATGTGAAGCAGTCTTTAGGCAAAAAAATTCCAGCAGGCAGCTATTTGTGTTGATAAAACTGGCTTCTAAAATTAACTTTGGCATGGACAATCCTGAAAATTAACTATCCAGCATTCCCTGGACTGACGTACATTAGACACATAATTTTCTTGAAGATCACGCATAATGTAAATATGGCTTACACCATTCAGCAACTTGCTTTTGTTACACTTACAAATTAAAGTTGTAGCAACAATTGGGTGAGTGAGACACAAGCAGAGGCTAAAACATCCAAATTATGTAAAATACTGGACATGCACTGCCCCCATTTCATGAGTCCACCCAACAATTCTATCATGTGAGACAAAACATTAGGCTTCTTGTAACTAATTTATACCGTAACTTTTAAAGGACATCATGTTTCACTGAAATACTACACCTAAGACATCATTTGCAAAAAAATATAGCTTAAAAAGACAATAGAAGAGTGAGAAGGCGTCCCGCGCCGCTGACGTCGCTACCGCGCCATGTTCCTAAAACCATCTCTTAAAACGAGTTTTCGGTAAGAAACGTTAAGATCACATGCCTGAAATTGAAAAACACACTTCAAAGTATCTTAAAATATGATCCATTGTTACTTACACTTCAGAAAAGGTCCCTTAAACAAAATAAAACCGGGAGCACTACGTTGCATCCAAACACCCACGACGCCGGCGCGAAATGGCGGGAACCGGAAATCGTGGCTAGATACAAAGAAAAAGAATATTTCTTATAAATGAATTATACAACTTAATAACGCATTTTTTATTTTCTTTTAGACAAAATTATGAAAAAATTACAAAGGCTCGTCGTTGATGATAAACAGAGCAAGTTTTAACAGCACGTTTTTGTTGAATTATGGCGGCGAAAACTTTATGCCATTCGTAAAGGTACGCGCGACAAACGGCTGATAGCCATGCAGCGAAAAATTGAAGCGGGGAAGTTTTTTGTATTGATTTGTCGAAAAATCTCGCCGTCATGGGGGTTATTTCCGCCGTAACGGGTCGTCTGAAGGTGGGAATGTCCCAAATTGAATCAAAATATTGATTCTATGCCCATATATGGTCAAAGCTCCGCCCACTAGAATCAATATTTTGATGCCTCCATATTTTGATTCCCGCCGCCTAGTTTGCCCAACTGATATGACCTGACAAGACCTAACCTTACAAAACCAAACCCAACCTAGTCCTAATCTACCATACAGTCACCCAAGCCTAACAACTCAACATTACCTAACCTGACCTAGCCTAACATATTTTTGTATCTGTGTACTTTCTGACATCTATTAACATTTGCAATGCATACTTTATGACTGTCCTGTATACATTTGCTGTCGTTGACATATTTACATCTGCCATATGAGCATTTGTGATGCCTACTTAATTTGTCCACAACCCATTTTTCCGTTTTTTCTCATGTTTCAATGCTGCTCCACTGCGTTTGGTGGGGGGAGGGGGAGCATCTGGTGTCTGTTCTGAGGTCATGTTGTGGTACTGGCAGATGGAGAAGCCAGAGATCAGGGTCATTCTGCGGCTGTCGACCCTGCTGGAGCTGTGCCAGTTCCAGACCTTCTGGGAGCAGATCGAGGACCAGCAGGAGCTCATCTCCGACATCACGGTACGGCACGGGGTCAGCGACGCCAATATCAACGCCAGCGGCCCCGATACAGGGTCATGGGCACGGCACGGGGTCGATGACACCAGAACGGAGTCAGCGGCTCCGGTACGGGCTTTCTGACTCCGGTATGGGGTGACGGTCTCCGGTACGGAATTAGTTACTCCGGTACGGGGTCAGTGACTTCGTTATGGAGTGATGGGACAAGTTCACAGGGCTCATTACGGGGTCAGCGGCTTCAGTACGAGATCACAGGCTCCGGTACGGATCATAGACTTCGGTACGGGGCCAGCGACTCCCATACAGAGTCAGTGACTGTGGTACGAGCTCAGAGACGCCAGTGCGGGTCAGGGCTCTTTTGTGACTTACCAGTTACCATGTTACCCAATCTCCGTTTTGGATTAGAACAAGTTATAGGCATTGACAGTAATGATTTTCAAGCAATATTGTGGAGAAATTAAGGAAGCATAATTTGGGACGAAATTGGTTGTTTTTATGTGAGTTTATGAATAAATCTTGGAAGAGCTAAGATAGCAATGGTAAACGAACTGGTAAGTAAGGCTGTTCTATGCTCTCTACAACCACAACCCTGATTCAGAATGATCGCTGGCACATAGTATGTATGTCACAGCTGTGCCGCTCTCGTGGGCAGGGTTTCGAGGACTCTGTGCGGCGATACGTGTGCCATGTTCTGAACATCACCTACCAGAGGATCGGCAAGGAGCTGGTCCAGTCGGCACTCAACGTCACCGGTGAGCACGCGCACTCCGGTCCCGGCTTAGGCACGGTACTGCCCGGCCGGCTGGGATGTTTGTCAACCTGTCGACGGTGTGCAATGTGCATTTCACAACAGTGTCCCAAACTGTGTTGATTTGGGTGGAAAACGACATCCAAATAAAAATCATTTTGCACTGTCATCTCAAATTTTAAAAAGTAATTTTCCACTCCCAACTTTACCTAGAAAAAGCATTTGTATGGATGATCGTTTTACATCCTACATTTTACCACCTTTTTATATAAATTTATACCATTGATCCCTTTTTCACTCCTTTTATGCCTTATCTGACTGACAATTTTCCACTCCAATGCCCATTTTCAGAGAGGATTTCTCTCTGACACCATAGCCAAAAAAACAATTTTGGGACACTGTCTCACAATATGAACTGCTTACATAGGATAACGCACATATTTCCGTACAAGTCTGGTTTAATATGTTTTTGGCTCGATCCGTCAGTGAAAGCTAGATAAGACCTGAAGACCTCAGTCAGTGGCGCTTGGCGGAATGTTTCGTCAAGTGAGCGGTGACAATGTCTTAACAGAGGTCAATTGGGTCAATCTACTAACCAAACGAACGCTTGGTAATGAAGAACCAAACATAAAGCTACTTGTGTCTTTCAGTCTTCATTCTGTTGAGTTACAGGCAAACGTTCTTTAGGATACCATAACCGAAGGTTCGTGTTCAATATGGTTAAACACACGATTCGTTAGAGCTGTGTTTTTCTATTAAAAAACAAGCCTGAGTTCTCGGACAATTTTGCGCACTTAACACTCGGCAGGCGGCAACCTACAGGCTACCGTCTAATGTCCAGTGCCCCATGCACGAATTGCATGACCCCCCCCCCCCCTACACATGCACGAACTCACTATCCAGACCCGTGTGAAAGCCGTTGTTCTGGTTTCTGAGTGACCGCTGCCCGCGTTCCTCAGCCTCGGAGCTGTCCGCCTGGGTGACTAAGTATGGATGGTCCGACGAGGGTGAAACCATCTTCATCCGCAACCAGGACGAGAGCGTCAAGACCAAAAACATTCGGGAAAAGATCGACTTCGAGACGGTGGCCGGCCTGATGGCTACGTCAAAGTGAGACGTCCTGTTCAATTTTCTGTCGGTTGGGGGATATGGTTTAATACATATGTGACGCTCGTTCCCTGTTTTGTATGATTTAGGGTATGCAGTGACCAGTGCTGTGATTCGGTCAGGTGCTTTCACGGTGACTGCATTTACCTAGATGTTATGCAATCTTTAATCCCGACACGACTGTTCATAAGTCATTAAGGAATCATGTGTATTTGATCCAAGACTGACGTACATACCTAGTCGTCTTGTCGTGTCGGGTAGAATAACAGGTGTTATACGGTTGTATGCAGGCGCGGATACAAGGGGGGGGGGGCATGGGGGCCATGGCCCCCCCCTTGGCCGATTTTTTCAAAAATAAAATAAAAAGTTAAAAAGTTAAAAAGCTGAAAAGGGGGCCTCCTGAAAATAAAGTGGCCGAAATCCGATGAGTTTTTTTTTAACCTACCCACTTAGTTATTTCTTAGAAGACTAGCTGAGAAGACTTCTTTGTTAGAAGATTGGTAAAGCTTTTCATAACTTGGAGGTCTCTTATACTCACAGAGATGACCACTTTTACAGGGCCTCCTAACCTGCACAGAGGGCCTCCCAAGCCTGCACAGATGTTGAGATGTTGCCTGAACAGCTAGATAAGCTCAATAGACGCAGTTTTTTTTTTGGGGGGGGGGGGGGCCCAACAAGTGGGAAGATGGGGCCTCCAACAGGTGGGATTATGGGGGGGGGGCCTCCTGGTTTCTAATGGCCCCTCCCTTGGAGATTTTCTGGATCCGCCCCTGGTTGTATGGTACCACCGTGAAAATGTTTGTGAACACTCGTCACACTATTTTTATTTAGACACTCCCGTCGAAATTTTTCCACACTTCACACCGATAACGTGAGGTGGGTGGGTCGCCAGATGTTATATGCTAAGGTTCCCAGCCGTGAGTGCTCTCGTGATCGCATTGATACGCTATCATCGTGCGACGCACACCGAAAGATTAAGTGGTGGTCAATCAATGATACTTCTGTACTAACGAATCGAAACAAAAGGCTCATATTAAGTCAACCACAATGAGGGGATTCAGTCCATCAACAATTATAAAGACGTTCCATTTCTCTTAACTGATATGATCCATAACAGGTAATGCAACTCAGAGACGCTGATTTGAACAGATTTTCATTAAGACGCATTTGCTTGATTCTTCCGAAATTGGGAAGTTTTTTATCGGTGTTCTTGAGGAAAGATCAACATGAAACACGACTATTACCACTTACCAGTGTCCGTTGCTTCGAATGACCAGTTTGCGTTGCATTCATCCCAACGTAACAATACAGCTACATAACAGCACAATATGTGCATAACATATTTACAAATGCTGCAGTATTAGCATTTGTTCGGAACTTCCTTCATGGTCCTTCATATGACAGTGACAGCGTCTGTCAAATGACAGCAGCACTGCTCTTTGCTCATGTCGCGAACACTTCGCCAATGGAGCACACAGTTCTCCGCTTCTCCATTGTCACATACTCTCCTTTTGCTCTCTCATATATGTAACGAGCAGCCGACTGTCATAGACACTGTTTTATTCCAAAGTATATGGTTCGAGACGCTCCAAACGTAGTCCAAGAGTGTATTCCGTGGCTCTGCTATACCCACTACGCTCCGTCGTCACCGACGAAGGCGGGGTTCGAGTACTGCTGGACCGACACACTGCCTGCGCGGCTGCCCTCCGGTTTCTCCTCCACTGCGTCCGGCGCCAGTCGGGCCGGCGGGTGCAGGCCCCAGGGCTTCTCAAACAGCTCCCCGATCCTCTCCAAGGAGACACCCTTCGTCTCCGGCACGGTCAGGTAGAAGAACACCAGGCCGAGCGACGCCAGGCCGGCGTACATGTAGAACGTACCGTGCTTCGTCATGGCCGTGGTCAGCGTCAGAAACGTGAGCGACACGAGCAGGTTGAAGAACCAGTTACAGGACGTGGCGATGGCGTTGCACGTGCCGCGTGCCCACAGCGGATAGATCTCCGAGTTGATGGTCCAAGGCATCGGGCCCATGCCGGAGGCAAAGCAGACCAGGTAGAGCGAGAGGCCGAGGATAGGCATCCAGGAGTAGTCGGAAGGACACCAGTCAGGCGCCCAAGTGAAAGTGTCTCCGGCGGCGGCGGACAGACCGACGCATCGTCCCACCGCCGCTGAGGTGTTCTGCCGAGACACGAACGGCACGCACGAGCCGTTGAGCGCGCCACCGTCGGCCGCCTCCAGGAAGCAGAAGCCGCAGTCGGCCGAGACGACACAGTCGTCACATATGGAGTAGTGGCAACTGTCGGACGGCCACAGCTGCACCGGAGCCGAGTGCTGGTAGCTGATGTGGAAGCTGGCAGCTAGCACCACCAGGCTGAGCGCTGAGCCAGCCATGCTGCTGAGCGTCAGCGGACGCCGGCCCAGCCGCTCCACCAGCGCCATACTCACGAACGTGAAGCTGAAGTTGATGGCGGAGAGCGCTGCTGCCAGCCAGATGGCTGTGGTTGGGTCGCGCACGCCTGCCAGTGTGATGATGCTGGCGCTGTAGTACATGACGGTGTTGATGCCGGCCAGCTGTTGGAACACCTGAAGGCCGCAACCGACGGCCAGCGCGCGCCGCGTGCCCGCCGCCGACAGCACCGCCAGCAGCACGTTGGACGGGCGCGAGGAGCGTTCCTCGTGCTCCTGCGCGATGTCGCGCTCGACGTCGCGCAGCTCGCCTTCGGCGGTGTCGGGCGCGCCGCGCAGTCGCAGCAGCACATGTAGCGCGGCGTCGCGCCGGCCGCGGGTGGCCAGGTAGCGCGGCGTCTCCGGCATGGCGAGGAAGCCGAGCGTCTGCAGCGCGGCCGGCACGGCGGCCAGGCCGAGCATGTAGCGCCAGCCGTGGTCCACCCCTGAAAACGCCCCGCAGATCAGTGAGGCCGCCAGCTGGCCGCCCGTGATGAACGCCACATTCACGGTGACGAGCCGGCCGCGCACCGCCGCCGGCGCCGCCTCCGAGATGTATATCGGCACCGACATGCTCGACAGGCCGATGCCGACGCCGATGATGATCCTGCCGACCAGGAGCACCTCCTTGTTTCCGGAAACGGCCATCAGCACGCTGCCGGCGACGAACACCACGCTGGCGGCCAGGATCACGGGTTTGCGTCCGAACCGGTCGGCCGCGTCGCCGCCCACCAGCGCGAACACGCCTGCCGTGCCGATGGTGGCCGACACGATCAGCTCGTGCCAGAGGTCGTCGAGCGCCATGTCCTCGCGCACCAGCAGCATGGCGCCCGACACGACGCCTGTGTCGTAGCCGAACAAGAAGCCGCCGATCGCCGAGAGAGCCGTCAGGGCGTACAGCAGCCGACGCGACGACGACGTCGGAGCGACGGCGCCCAACGACGGCCTGGCTTCCGGGCCGTCCATAACTGGCGACTTGGCTTCATGACTGTCCAAAACCGACGGCTTAACTTCCGGGCCGTCCATAGTTGTCGGTTCTGAGGTGGAGCGGCTATCGTGTTGTGCGCAACCTTAGAGTTGAAGGGACAGACAGGTGATAGACTGCTGCCAACTCAAAAGACGAACAATCCTGGACCCTGATGTCGCAATGTCGGGAAGATCCCGCGACGAGCCAACCTGAGGGGAGCTGAATTCACGGTGCTTCAATTGGAGACCTACAGCGGCGAGTTCGAGCGAGGGGTGCCCACTTCTGCTCGGTAGTTCGAGCGGACCGTGCGCCGCGGACTGCGGTAGCTCTCGAGCACCTGCCTGGTCGCCACCGGCGCGGAAACTGAGAGGTGTGACAAGTTCTGAGTCGATCGTCCGCTATCGGGCCCTCCCGGAGTGACCGTCAATGGTCATATGACTTCTGAGACTGATAAGGTCCTACCTAGGTCAGATACTGCGATGTGCTGACCCTTTGACCTAAATTCGTGACAATCATCGTACCGATCATATTTGCGCTCAGCGGCATTGCGGGGTGTGGGTAAAAGGGCTGTGAACATAGGTAAGCTTTTTATATTTGGGCTTTCATAATTCATATTGGTGCTGATTTTGGGAAACAACAATTGATTAATGAAATGAAACATCCCACTATCTATGTTGGCCGCCCCACGGTGGACGCCCCCCCCCCTCCCCGGCTAGACGGCTGCGTCCTTGTCATGACGGCACTTTTCAAATTCATGGGGTGCGCGATGGCCAGATGAGACAAGTGAAACTTTAAATTCCCGGCCAGCTTAACCCGCGCCGGGCCGGGGGGGGGGGTGTTTGAACACCCCCCCTGCGGTTTTTCGCAGATATCTCAAAAACGCCGGCGCGGAGCGCCGCCGTTTTTGGCACACCTGTTTGTGCATCTTTTCCACACATGTTGTGAAAATTTCAGACCCAGGTCACCTTAGGTCAGGTCACCAGGTCACGCCAAGTGACCTCACCTCAGAAAAAATAAGAATGCTTGTCATAGCTACACCGATTGATCGATTGCCTTGAAACTTTCAGCGATTGATTAGAGCAACATTATCTATAAAATGTATATCTCGGAATTTTGATATCGGTGACCTAAGGTCAGGTCAATTTTGCGACCACTCCATTATAAGTCAATGGAAGAAAATTGAAAAGCGTCTGTTTTGCACGAACGCTATTCTAGACACTCTCAAACATCGAGATGTAAGCAAAATGGACACACTGAACCGGAAAATGGCAACTGTGACCCCTCGTTATGTCCCCGAGGTCATCTCAGGTCACGAACAGAATCTAACAGTTTTTCGCTAATAACTTCTGATAGAGACGTGCTAGAGCGCTGAAAACGCCTTAGATGTGTTCGGCTCGACGTTGCGGATCGACTGATATGCAACATGACCTTTTCCGGTCAGGTCATGACCTTGACCTGAGGTCAAATTTTCAAGTTGACCTTTCAAGGTCAAATTATAGTTCATTCGACGCGTCTCGACGAGAGGAACACTATGGTGGCAAAAGTAATGTCATGGCTCTTTTGAGTCAAAAGTTATTGCCGAAAAACGTCTTTCGTAAAAACGGCTATTTTTGGAGTTTTTGCCCTCTGGAGGCTAAACCGTTGACCTGAGGTCAAATCTGAGAACATAAGTCAGAAAGGTCTGTAAAAGGGCTATCGAATGCGCTTTTCTGCGGCGCTGTAGCCTGTAGCTCTATCGGTTCCCGAGATAGCCGTTGGCAGTTTCCAAAATGTTGAAATAGTGAACATTTGACCTTTGGTGACCTCTGGGGTCGGGGACCTGACCTTTGACCTGACCCAAAAAATGACCGAAGTGTTTTCGTCCTTATTTTGGACGTTCTTTCGATTGCCGCTTACCGCGTGTCGCTACGTGGCCCAGGAGCCGAGTTAGAAGGGGGGGGGGGTGTTCAGACACCCCCCCCCCCCCGGCCCGGCGCGGAATCTCAGAGCACCGGCCCGGCGCGGGTTAACCACTTCTGGCTTGCGTACTCCCTCCGCTTCATGCCGATTATCAGTTATACCTACCGTGACAACATCTTTCTGGTCCTCTGTCCCAGTCCGCGCGGTACTGTGAATAAAAGCTTGCATGTTGTGAAAGCGGAACGAAAATGATGGGGGAAATTTGGTAGCAAATTCTCTTCAAACATGGCGGCGTCCAGTGGAGCAGTGTCTGAGTCTGGTGCGATACCGAAATGGCAAATTGCGCTAGCAGTAGGAACGCCAGTGGTACTTGGAGTTGGTTATTATTTGTATAAGTCATCCAAGACCGAGGATAAAGGCAAAAAATCCTCTGAAAAGAAAGATCTAGTGGAGAAAACGGCATCCAGTGAAAGCGCCGCTAATGCCGCAACACCGCCAGATCCAGTCCCAGAGGTAAAATACACGTGTTTATGAAATTCTAATGATCATTCTGTTGGTTTGATGTATTGTAATTTTGAAATCCTTAGTCTGAGCTCAGAAATTGTTTATAACTTTATTTCATAATAGTTAGAAATGTTGGTATCGCAACATGCGAGACACGAGTGGACAATTAGTAGTTAGTAGTCAATTCCTTTCATATTGCATTACCTATTATAAATCAATCATTTTGTATCATCTTTACCATGCTAATGCTATCTTTGATCTGAAAGTTAAACACTTTCAAATGTTTTTCAAATGTGTGATATATTATGCTTTTAAATGTGGTGATACAAAGGCAGTATAATTTGCAATTATGATCCTTACTTGTTAAGAAAAAGTGCTAAAAAAGCTGCCAAGAAGTTGTGTAGTTTATGATAAATGTATCTGCTAGCAGAAAAGAGATATAATCCAATTATATCAAAAGTGCATTATCGCCATTACCTAACATCAGAACTCAGAAGATGCATCATAATATATTTGCCATTTATAAATTGTTAGGATCAATATGACTAAAGGATTCTATGAGTTATGCTAGTAAGTGTATGCCTTATCTGGATATGGAGCAATGTAAAAGACAAACTGTTTGTAATTCTTATTTTCATTTTTACTTCTCAACATTTTACAAATATTGCAAAGGTAAATGATAGGTAATGCAAAATGATAATGCAAAGCTAAATTCACTTTATGTTCCTATTTTGATTATTTGATTATTTGATACTTTTTTATTGTGAATGCCAGGAACAGCTCACTGTGTATAGTGTGTAGATAATCCAGTTCAAGAAAAGGAGCCATAATTAGAGAAAAGCTCAAAACAGTCAACAGCTTTTTGATGTCAATATTTTTTCATGCTTATTTTTAGAAAATTGCATAAGGCTTTGACCATCAATGTTTTGCTCCTCTGCTTAATAAACATCAACATTGATATTTGTTGTAGATATTTGATTTGTTATCCTTGCAATTGTACCTTCATTTATTATTTTGCAGACACCACTTGACAAAGCTCGTGCATCAAAGAATAAGGGAAACAAGTACTTCAAGGCGCAGAAATACAATGAGGCAATCAAATGCTATGACTCAGCTATTGAGCTGTGTCCACCAGACCAGGCCCAGGACCTGTCTACCTTCCACCAGAACCGCGCTGCTGCCCATGAACAGCTGGTAAGTGGTGACTGGCATTTTCCAGTTCCTGACTGGTTGCATGGCAAGTGGGTAAACACCCACTTGCCACACACAGTGGGTGTGGCACTTGTGGGTGTGCACACAGTGGGTGTGCACACTTGACACACACACACACTGAGTGCATGCAATCATTATTAAATGGGATTCACATTTATGTGTAGGATTTTTGTAGCTCTATGTGTTATAATACCAACGTGTTTGTTGGCGCTTAAAAGGAAAATCTTGAAAGATGCAAAACCTTTGATGTCATGCTTACACTTCATTTGTTCATTTGCCCATCTCTGCATGCATGAATCCATTTATCAGAAATTCATCACACTTTGTTTTCAGACTGGTTCCAGATTGGGGTATGTGTTTTTGCCAGGCCAGGAGGACACTAGCCTTCTTAGAGCTGCTTTAGCATGTAAAGTTCAAGCATGTGTGCTCAGTGCTCACATTTGACTCATTTGTTGATCAAAACTAGGAAAGTTCTTTCATATTTTTGCACCATTCTGTACCTGTGCAGTGTGCACTGTGTGGCATTCTTCGAGGTACTGCTGTGGTGACAGTCCCCCCGCGTCTCCAGGGTAACCGCGCAGTTTCCCGTCACGACTGACCCATGTTTAGTGACCATGTCCCCCTCCCTCACACCAGGGTAACCACGCGGCGTCCCGCCACGACTGACCATGTCCCCTCCCCCACACCAGGGTAACCACGCGGCGTCCCGCCACGACTGACCATGTCCCCCTCCCCCACACCAGGGTAACCACGCGGCGTCCCGCCACGACTGACCATGTCCCCCTCCCCCACACCAGGGTAACCACGCGGCGTCCCGCCACGACTGACAATGTCCCCCTCCCTCACACCAGGGTAACCACGCAGCTTCCCGCCACGACTGACCATGTCCCCCTCCCTCACACCAGGGTAACCACGCGGCGTCCCGCCACGACTGTGACCGCGCGCTGCAGCTGGCGCCGCGCTACGCCAAGGCGCTGCACCGTCGCGCCAAGGCGTGCGAGGCGCTGGGCGAGCTGTCACAGGCGCTGCGGGATGTGACGGCCGTCTGTATCCTGGAGGGCTTCCAGAACCAGGCCACCCTGATGATGGCCGACCGCGTGCTCAAGGAGCTCGGTAGGTGGCCGACGGTGCGGCTGGGAGACGCTGGGGACGAGTCAGAGATAGGGGGGCTGATATCAGAGGCATGAGCATCCGATGGATGCCAGCCGCATTGGTCTGAGTTGGGTATAGTCTTCTTTGGTAGACTATTAGTCATTGCTTTGGTAGAATACGATTTTTGGTGTTTACCTACCGTTTATTGCATGGATGCTTCAATTTTTGTGGTAGTCGTTACATGCTGTGGTCCAATCAAAGCAATAGTTAAGTGGTTGTCTGATAATTGTTTGAGATAAGAACACACGATTTAATTCAAAAGTAGTCTGCATTTACGTCCTTTTACACATGTTGGATTTTTTTCTTCAAATATCTCTTCAGCAGTCAGCACTTCGTCGTAATTCGTATATCGCTTGAGCTGTCCCTGGCGTTCCAAACGTTCATAGTGGGAGTTATGTACTAGCATGTGTTCGCTCATCTCTCCAGGTAAGAGGCACGCCAAGGAGGCGCTGCAGAACCGTCAGCCGGTGATGCCGTCCAAACACTTTGTGCAGACGTTCCTCTCGTCATTCGCCGAGGATCCACTGTCCGACTGCTGGAGGAAGGAGGACACCAGCGCTCCGACCGCCGACGACGCCGACCTCAGGTCAGTGGGGGGGGGGGGGGATGGTGCGGCCTGCGGACTGACATTGAGCCATTGTTTGGTTACTAGAGGGGAAATATTCTTGTCACCCTTGGTGTACTCGAGAAGGCGCTTTTTCAAAACAACCGCAAACCATTGCTAAATTTTAGGATTGTGCTAAAGGTGCGAAATCTGCCTTTTGACAGCATTGGCTCATGTGTGTTGCAACTTGCAACTGCTAAGGCTGCACAATGCACATGCGGTCTGGCTATTGATGCTAGGTCGATAGTTTTGCCGTGACCACTAATCACTATTGGGACTCTTTGCGTCACTGCTGATGTAAAAGTGATCTTATTTTCTATTTAGCCACACTCCTAGGGACTGTGGAGCTTCTGCGTGTTTGACCTCAAATCAGCACTGAGCCAAACAGGTCACAGACGTGTCTTGTTCTGCACCCGTCCACCCCGCCTACTGACGCTGTTCATCCGCAGGGGCTGGGCGCGCGCGTGCCGGGCCATCCAGACGAGCAGCTACGAGGATGTGGTGCCGGCCTGCTCTGAGGAGATCGAGTCTGCCGGCCCACGCCGCCTGGAGGCCACTCTGCTGCGCGGCACTCTGCACCAGCTGACCGGCCAGAACCGGGCCGCCCGAGACGACTACACGGTCGTCATCGAGGACAACGCCTCATCGTCCAAGGTGGGCATGGATCGGGGCTCGAACCGGATAAATTTTTGCCCTGTGACGTTGGCGGCCAATGTTTATTGTTTTGCCGTAATCACCTTTCCCGGCTCCCCCTACTTATTCTGTTGCAAGCGTTCCAAGCCGATCGCGGTGCATGACGTGCGAGGGTCAAAACTGATCTTGTCAACTAAGTAGCTGCTTTGTCCCATTAAGACTACTCCAGTGACTCCTTTGTGCTCAGTGTGCTGCTTTGGGCTTTGTATACTCCAGTGACTGTTGAAGTCTGTGCCTTGCTAGGTGACTGTTGTGTCGTGTGGCTGGTCAACTGACTTAAATGCTCATTTGGCTACTCCAGTGACTATGTAACCCTTTGACTTGCGTACTGACTGTTGTGCCCCTATGCCTGCAGCTCCGTGTGAACGCGCTCATCAAGCGGGGCTCGATCCACCTCCAGCTGGACGCCCCCGAGGCCAGCGTGGCCGACTTCAAGAAGGCCATCGACATCGACGAGAAGAACTCGGACATCTATCATCACCGCGGACAGGTTTGTGAATGGACCTCATAGCAATGTTCATTCTAAATTCGCTTCCATCACGGGCCCTGAGCCCCTGAGATCACCATCACTACAATGGACCTGCTTAGAGACAACCCTGTAGGATTTTAAGCGTTTTTTTAGGGTGCCCTGACATTGAGCTAACAGCATCAGTTTTATCTGGCCTCTGAGTGGGCTATTTATCGGTTTTCTTGAGAAAATGGCAAAAGCGCAGAGTGTTTGAAGCCGGAAAAGTGACGTTGAATATAAAACGTTTTGGTATGGTTCTAGACCTAGAGGTTGTGCCTTAGTGTTGCTGCTCACTTGATCACATGCCTCATCGTCACGGTCTGTCCACGTTTCTCTTTCAACAGATCAACCTGCTGATGGAGATGACGGACCAGGCCATGGCAGACTTCGAGACGGCCGTGAAGCTGAAGCCGGACTTCCCGATCGCTTGCGTGCAGAAGACGTACACCGACTACCGACACGCCTGTGCCACCGAGGTAGGAGTCGTGACACGGTGACGGGGAGCGACTGGTTAGTGGTTAGGGGTCGGTCGGTGACGGTTCTGTAAAAGGGCAGAGTGGTTTGGAGTTTGGAGGAAAAGGTAAGGTTGGGGTAACAACATTTTGCTAGTTGCTGTCTGACTGGTAAATGATGCTTTATCATGTGATTTGTAAGGCAAACTGTTTCTAACATCTTGTATGATTCTAAAGTCCTCCATGCGTTGGGTAGAATGAGCCTCATATATGACTGGTATTGGTTACCTCCAATTAACTCTGATTTTGTGTTTCAGAATCGTGCCAAAATTGCCAAAGTGAACGAAGAGTTCAAGTCTCTGATATCTCGCTTCCCCAACTGCTCGGAGTGTTACGTTCTGTACGCCCAGGTAAGAGAGGGCGGGATGCGAACACTGCCAAACGAGTCAGGTGATAGGCCGGGCTGGTCTTTGTTTTCTGGACGGCGTCCGCTGTTGATTGCAGGTCCAAAAAATGATGACTGGCAAACCGGGTTGTAATTTTCTACGTCAGATTTGTGTTCTAAAAGTTGGCATATTTACACACTTTGTATTATGAAATCGACCCATGTCACATAGGTAACCGAAATGCTTGTCTTTATGCCTTATATCTCGGCTCATACCTGTCGATTGTCAGCGGGATCGATCGGTATTTGGTCATTTATTCACGTAAGAACTGCCTCTGTACAATTCGGTCAGAGGTGATTGTATCCTGCTGTATCTGTGCCGGTCAGCGGTGACAGCGTTCCGTCGTGTCTGTGCCGCAGGTAATGGCCGACCAGGAGAAGTTCCAAGAGGCCGACGAACTGTTCAAACAGGCCATCCAGGTGGACCCGGACAGGGCCACCGTCTACGTACACAGAGGTGAGTCTTCGTGCACGCTGGTGAGCTGTGCTTGTCGTCAGAGGTGCTCGGCGACCTGGTGGCCTATCTGTAGCGCCACCCACATTTTTAAAAGCATACCCCATCACAAAACATTTCTCGAATGGCATTTCTTATCGCAAATCATCATTGTTTTCCTGACACCCTGTGCTTTCCCTTTCAAAGCTACTTAACTTAGGTAACTAATACGCCGATGACCACAGCTGTAGTCCGGGCGCCCAAAAACCCCTTAGGTAACTAATAACTATGAAGTGTTTAGTGTGCTTGCCTGCTGTCTGCCTTATAATGTGTGAAGGCATGTCCAGGACTGGATAGTATCTACGAATGCCGTAATGGCAAATGGATGACACTCCATACTGACTTCTGCTTGCGCCTATTACTGAAGTTCCTTCGGTCTCTTAGTCGCGTTTTCTTTGTATTTGTTCGCTGTCACAGCTCTGCAGCTGCCCGCCCCGCTATGCCTGACTCGTACGTCCGGCTCCTTGCCAGGCCTGCTGCAGCTGCAGTGGAAGGGAGACGTTACCGAGGCCACCAAGCTCATCTCTCGCTCCCTGGAGCTCGATGACAAGGGCGAGTTCGCCTACGAGACGCTCGGCACCATCGAAGTACAACGGTCAGTGCAGCTACGATGGCGCTAAGTTCGCGGTCTGTATCGGCTAGGACAGCTGACAGCCGCGTGTATCGTGAGGGCTAACGTGCAACGTCCCAGACTGGCTTTCGACATGTGTACCCAAAGGAAAAATTCAGAATCATGAATATCAGCAAAATATGTGGATGGGTGTTTTGGTGCTTACTAGTTACTACCCATTTACTCATTTAATTATTTTAACTCAACACTGGGAGCCTTACTGTGTTACTGTGAGGCTACTACGTTAACCGTTCATCTATCTGTGCAGTAGCTGACGCCGCTGTCTTATTGCAGCGGTAACCTGAGGCGGGCCATGGAGCTGTTCGACAAGGCCATTCCGTTCGCCAAGACGGAGGCCGAGTTGTCTCACCTGTTCTCGCTGCGGGACGCCGCCCAGGCACAGGCCGAGGTGGCCCAGCAGCTCGGTATCAGCGTGCCCACGCCGCCCGGACTGTAGGGGCGCCGAGCGACCGACTCCCGGCGGGGGGTCGAATCAAGGACCCTCCGGCCCGGACTGTGCTGTACCGGGCAGCCCGCAGGACCGGGCACAGCGGGCAGCCGCCGCGGCCCGTGACCGGACAGTCACCTGACAGTGCGGTGCTGCTCTGCTGGGAAGGAGACATTGGTTGGAGGGGAGCGGTTACATCAGGATTACTCAGAGGAGTATGTGGAGGGAAAGGTAAACAATGCAGCGTCATGCAATGTAGAGCTTCCGCTTATGGCGGTCGGTAATCGGTTCGTTTTTTATAGCTTTGTATTTGGTGCTGGTCATTTCTGATGCCCCTTACTGGTTACGTGGGCGGAAACTGTTGGTCGGTATGGTCTAAAACCAAGAAGCAGAAGAGGGACGCTTAATTTTTAGTTTTGGATGAAATTCTCGTACGATTTTATCGTATTGCTCTTGTGATTTTATCACCTAAAGGTTCTTGCCGGGTCCAAAGTAAAACTAAACTTGCCACGAAAACTTGTATTCCCCAGTGATTGTGATATGCCGCTGCTATTCTTGCTTTGAACGATACGGGCTCGCGTGCCATGTTGGTGCAGTATGTCTCGGGAATCAGGATCCGGTCAGTCACTGGCTCCAGCCTCGTGACTTCATTGCGACAGCAGGGAATCCCCATTGGATGCGGGGCTCAGTCGCGTTGTGCGTATGCGTGATGTGTGATTGGTTCAGCTGTGCGTTCAGGTACGATCGTCTGCTGTACAGGTCCAGCGGGTGTGGATGTGGCTTGTTATATCCATCATAGCGCGACTGAGATGGTGCTGTTTGTTCGCCTGCCAGCCGACACGTTGCAATTTCTGCTGTGATCGCGGTCTTTGCGCCCGACCAACGGTGGACTTCGATATAATCCAAGCTGTGGCATTAGTTGTCCGTTTTCCATGGGGTCGCCCAGGCCCGGTTTCCGTAGACAATATATCGATGATTCCATAACCATGTTGTATGTACTTCGCCGAGACGGGGAAAAGCAAACTATGTGCAAAAGTTTATGTACGATTCGACGAGAAATATGATTTTACATGGGCTAATAACACATTATACGACAGACAGGCCGAGGTGGACACATTACAAAAGCGCTAAAATTGAAGGAGCGTTGGCAGTAGACGGGTACTGTGCTACTGACCACTTCACACTCGCAGTTACACGAAAACGCTCGTTCATTTACACTAACATGACGCGACAACTGGCATGGGGCAGTTGATGAATAACAAACGTTACAAAAAGATCAGGTACTGCGCGAGAACGACGGCAGATGTTCGTTACAGTCGCCCCAGAGGTAGGGCATAATCCTGCCAGTTCGCGTGGGGATTGCCTCATGGAGCAGCCGGAGATAATATCAACCAGCAGGCCAGAGAATATCTTCCTAGTCCGAAAAGGAGAAGGGGCAAGGAACGCCACCTACCGGACTCTGGGAGCCGCAGCTCAGGCATGGACCTCAGCCATCACGGGTTAGAGAACTGCGAGTCACTGAGCTATCGATCTACAAAAATAATCGATTCGCCGGGCGTCCGGTCAACCCCAGCGTCCTCCCCATTCCCCGCCCCTCACCACTTCCACGGTCCCTGCCGCCATCTTTGGCTCACTTTCGTTTTGTGGGACTGCCGGTCCGTCTGACGGGCATGTGAAGCACCTCGTAGAGCCGTTTGGCCTTGCTGGGTCCAATACCCGGACAGAGAGCCAGCTCCTCCTCTGTGGCCCGTATCACGTGCGCCAGCGAGCCAAAGGCGTTGAGCAGCGCGGCGGCGTCACTGCGGTTCACCGAACGCACTGAGGTGAGCGCGTCAGTGACCTGCGCCAGCGCTCCGCCCGACTGCGGCTCGCGGATCAGCTCGGCAGACTTGTGCTCGTACGCCTTGTAGGTGTCCAGGATGCGGCCGGCCTCGTCGGCGCTCCAGGCGAGCATTAGTGTCATGTCACAGCGCAGACACAGCCGGGTGAGCTCCTTGAGCGCGTGGTGCGGCTCTCGGACGTCCACCTGAGGAGCATTAGTGACACCGTCAACTTTAGGAGGCACCATGGCATGGGTATGGATATGACAGTGTTAGCCTGCGGTGCGGTAACGTGTGGTAAGGCCCATTTTCTGACGAACTTGGCCATGAAGACAACGTCGAGCAAAGCCAGGACAGCCTTACAAATCGCGACATCCAAATTTCATTCATCAAATGTCTATTTCATGCGATCGAATATCGATCGAATTCAATACATTATTTCATGCGTTCGAACACACCAGTGCTCGCCTTTCGGACCACAATCCCACACTCGCCCGTCTAACCTGTACGAGCAGGACGCGCAGCTCGAACGCCGAGCCCAGTGCCTGGACGCGCTCAGCCGCGTATCCGGGGTTCAGCTGGTGGTAACGCAGGCTCAGGAAGAGGGCGCACGTCTTGGCGCCGAGCACATAGTCGGGCTGGATGTCGCTGAACTCCCAGGGCACGCTGCAGATGGCCTTCAGCACGGGGTTGCCGCGCTGCCGGTGGTTCACCAGGATGCTGTACCCGGAGCCGATCGAGCGGGCGGTACCGGTACCAGTACCGCTCCCAGTACCGGACCCCGCGGTCCCCGCCGGTGGACCCGTGGGAGGCGGCTCGTAAAATTCTGAGCTCTTCAGGCCCTCAAAGGCCTGTCCAAACTCAGAGCTCGCCATGTCCGATATCCTGTGCACAGATGTTTGTTAAATTATTATAGTCTCAGAAGGTAAAATCTGGTGATACAACTGGCCTGGGTTTTCCAAAGTAAGGCCAGATAGTCTGTCCATACATCAGATTGCCCTCTGAATCAGAGTCTAATGTGATAGGTACTGCTTCTTTGTGCACCAGTCATCAGGCACCTTCCACTAAACCTGAACTATTAGTTACTAGCATCATACACATCTTTTTGATGGAGTCAACATAGCTTAATCAATATAAAATATCAACCTGTCAACAGTCAACACTCAGGTCAAAACTTGATATGTTCCAATTCAAGGTATGTCCTATACAGATGAAGGCAGTCCTGATATAAATAGGTACCAATGACTTTGGAACCCATCCTGCCATGCAAAGGCAAAAGCCACTGTGTGAGGTCAGCGTCTGACCTTGTGTAATGTACTGTAAAGTGGGGCTACGAGGGACGTTCAAAAAGTTCTCGGCCCGACCATTAAGGAGCAGAGATACGATGTCGACTTATTAGACAAAAAATGTTCAGTTAGTCAAATAACCAGCGTTAAGGCAAAAATATTTCGCGCAGCGCTTCGCGAGAGGCCCCTGGGTCTCCATAGCCAAGTGGGTTTTGGACGCATCTGGCACGTCCAAGACGGCTGCTTTTGTCTCCTTGCTGTCAGAGGGGTGTTCACGGGCACCGCACACTGCTGCGTGCGCTGTGTGCGGTGCGTCCAGCAGGCGTGGGGGTAGGGGATGGGTAGGCGGTTCTGACGTCACGGCTGCGTGCGGTGGACGGTCCGCTGTGGCCAGTCCCGACCGGCCACAGCGATCGCTGTGTGCGGTGACGGAAGGCTGACGTAGGGACGCAGTGGGCGGAGCTTGGAGGCTGTGTGCGGTCCGACCGCACACAGGGCCCGTGAACAGCCCTCAGCGAAGTTGCCGCTGCTTAGCACTTTCCTTATGTTGGGGAAGAGGTGGCAACCTGAGGGTGCAAGGTACAGAGAAAAAAGTGTCTGTGACAACAACTCGAAGCCACAGCTCACTGCTTCGCTGATCGTCACCCTGCTCATGTGTGCTGGTGCGTGGTCCTGGATCAGGCGCACACTTTTAGTCAGCTTCCCTGGTCTCTCCTTGATATCTGCTGCTCGCTACTGTTATCGAAGGGAGGTGTAGCATTCATCATTAATTGTGCACCCCTGTTTTAGAAAGTTGACGAGCAGAGCCCCGCCATCATCCAAAAATGCAACCACTGTCACCTTGCCGTCTGACTTAAACACGTCGCACACATTTGGTGGCCTTTACTCAGTGTGCTTCCACTTGTGCAACTCGGTCACGCCCTGAGGGTCAACGTGTGACACCCACAATCCCTCCACGGTAACAAGTAGTTCAATGAACTCTTTTGGATCTTCGATATAGGGGCCAAAATTTTCGCGTTACGCCTCCTTTCGAGTTTCCCTTTCCTCTGGTGTCAGCAAACGGGGGATGCATCTTGCAGAGATCTTAAACATATTAATACGCTGTCGAAGAATGGCTTTGAAGAGCCTGATAGACACCTCCGCTTCTGCTGCGTTGTTTCAGACCAGAACATTTGTCATTTTTCACAAAGAAGTGCTTATTTTTCATATTTTCTTGAGTCAATGCTGTTGATGGCTGGCCACTGCGGGGGTGACCATTAATGATCTGTTGACCAAAATTGAACAGAGATGCTCACTTTTTGACGCTACAGTAAGAAAGACAAACCTCAACATGTGTTGGCACTAGCTTTTCGTGAATAACGTTTGGTGCATTTTTCTGCAATACATGAACCAAATCATTGTTCTCTTCTAGGCGTCGCCCATTCTGACCGGGAATAGCAAACTATGTTACGATTAATTGGCAGCCTGAACCAATCACAGGGCAGATTGGTTAATGGCTACGTAAGTGGACATCCCAATAGCACATCATTGAACACACCGCGTTGCAGGCCGAAATACCAACTCCTTCATGGTTGGGCCGAGAACTTTTTGAACACCCCTCGTATTTGAGACAGTGGGGCTATTTGAGACAGTATTTAAAATCGCTATAAAATGAAGATCGTTTGATTTTTGTGTGATATTTTTGCTCAGGGAGGTGTGGAATCGAGCAGTAAATCGCCTGAGCAAAAAAGTAAGCATAAATTTTCAGTGGTTTTTATTTTATAGCAATTTTAAATACTGTCTCAAATAGCCCCACTGTCTCAAATAGCCCCACCTTACGGTATAGTAGTTTTTGCCTTTGCACAGCAGCATGTCACATGAGGCTTAAGCAGAGTGACAATTGATGCTGCCATGAACTGAGCCATTTCCCTCTTTTGCACTCTTTTAAAACTGAAGAAATTCACAAAACAAAATCATGAAAAGAAAGAACACATCCTCCTAAGGTAGAAAAGAGAGGTCACACATAAATACTTAATACTTATGATACTTTTTACACAAAAAATTTATAAGTTACAACCAACCACTCATTGGGTCAGGCTTGGTTATTTGGTATACCTTTAGGTTGTAGGTTAGGTTGTAGGGTAGGTTGTAGAATTAAGGTTGGTACCTATGTTGTAGGTTGGCAGGTGTAAGCTGGTAGGTTGTAAGTTGTTAGGTGTTAGGTTGTAAGTTGGTAGGTTGTAGGTTAGTAGGTTGGTAGGTTGTAGGTTAGTAGGTTGGTAGGTTGTAGGTTAGTAGGTTGGTAGGTTGTAGCCTGTAGGTTGGTAGGTTGTGGGTTGTAGGTGTAGGTTGTAGGTTGTAGGTTGGTAAGTAAGTAGGTAAGGTTAGGTCAAGAAAGATTAGTTTTTTTTTGTTTCTGCTTGAATTGTAGGTACCTGATTTTTAAAGCAATATTTTTTTTTTTATAAATTTAGTCCGAACCTTTTGATGGGAAGGATTCACAAGGACAGAGCCACCGCTAAGCGAAGCTTGTTGCGATGACCCTGCCCTCTACCCTCCGATCGCGCAATTCCGATTCTATGGCAGAATTTAGAGTCCAAAGTTTAACGTGCGCACAAAGCCGCGCACGGCCGGTCCCCTCGCTGACTTCGCCTGGCTACGGCCTGCCACCAACCGCAACCATACCTGTCACTTGTCAGGAGGCCCATAAATGTCGAGCGCACGTCGCGCTTCGAACCCGGACTGTCATAACCGGGAAAGGGTACTCTCACCACGCGGAGTCCAACGCTCTACCAACTGAGCTACGGGACCGGCTGTATAAATGATTGTATGAACAATTTTCTAGGTTTATACAAGGTTTGTGAAAATATGGTATGGTTTTTATTCAATTTTGAGCCCAGGGTGCAAAAGAGGGATTTGACCGTGAACTGTGTTTTGCAAGTGACATTCACTCACCACACAGTGTACTGGAAAATTATAAAATAATACCTATAGACCTTATTCCACAAAAGCTGATTCAATACAGATTGATTGAGGACTATTCCGAGAATATTGATATAGGGCCTTGGCCATTCTATGTCATCAAACTCTGTTCAGAGGGAATCTACCAATGCCGGAAGGAAACATACAAAAACACAAAATTACGACAACTCTCCTTGGATATTAGCCATCATCAGCAAATATATTAGTAATTTTGAACAAAACTGAACGGCTGAGCTGCGTGCTATATGTATCATATTTATTCGCTACCAGATTAAAGTAAAAACTTCACGCAGGGAAAACTCTCTTTTGTCAGGCGGTACAGCATACATTCAGGCGTCCGCTTAGCGAGACATCTATTGGCGAAAAGAAGAAACACGCTAGTCTCGACTGGCGCTCCCAGTTGATAAGGTTTGTTCTAGAGGTGGCAAAAGATGAAAATTTTGGGAACCAGACTCGAACCAGACCCGGCTGAACATTTCTGGAACCAGTCGGACCCGGTCTTAGTTGGAATCGGAACCATTTGGACCCGTTCCCCAAAAGTCAATTGATGCAAACTACTTGCAGGTGTCATTAGTTGCATCATGTAAAACAGCCTATTTCCCTCTGGGAATACTCATGAGCTACTGTGTGCAAAGGAAAATTCACTTCATTCACTTCATATTTTGCAATAATGTGTAGTGTGCCAGATGTATGTTTATGGTAGGACCCGGTTGGACCCGTCATAAAATTTCCAGGAACCGGTCTGGACCCATATGGGTCCAGACTGGTTCTTTAAACCGGGTCCTCGGGTCCACATTTTGCCACCTCTAGTTTGTTCGCAGCTTTAAACATGAATTTAAGGAAAGTGTAATATTTGTGTGGTAGGATAAGAGTACATTGTGAATAGATTAGTCAATAGTCATCGCTTTGAAGAGGGCAAGGGTGGGGGTCGAACGGCCCTTTTCTCTTTTCCAGGAAAAATTCGCGAAGTAGTGGATCGCAAGAAAACTTTTAGTTTTCCCGAGACTAATAACTTTTACGCATTTCCTGAGATTTTTACCCAAACTCCAACTCTGACCCAAATGACCCGTGAGTGTGACCCTTTTCTCGAGAAATGTCAGGCCAGAGGGATTGGGTAATGGGTGCACTACCCTTCTCATCTTTGGGTCAGCATTCAGCAATCTGCACTGCCACTGCACTTGGCCCGCCTACGGCAAGGGGTTGCCGTCTATCCAATCCAAGCGTCTATCGAGAGGAGCGTCGAGCGCCAATGTCCAGCCCAGCCGGCTGTCGAGAGGCCGCGCATGCGCGTTACGGTCGTCGGTCGGAGGCGGTCGGCGGCCCCGGCAGTTGTGAGTCGTGAGTGGCGGTGTGGGGTGCTGCTCGGGGCTGCTGGTGTCTGACGGCACGCGCCCAGTCTTAGCTCGAGCAGTCTTCCGACAGCGGTCAACATGCCTCCCTGGCTGGCCGTCGTGGCGCTTATGGGTAGGTGACCAACACTGATGGAGGGGGAAGGGACGGTCACCGGGCATCGATTTGAGCCGCGGCCTGCTGAAGGACGATGGGTTGCCAGATTCGCGGGAAAAGCTTCAGCATGGGCTGAAAAAGAGTGAAATACATCCATGGCATGTACGAGTTACTTTAGGATTTTTTTTTTTTGTCAGAACTCTGATTGACATAACTCCTGCGGGCTGCGACATGTCCCAAATAGCTTCACCGTCTACATTTTCGCCCTTCCCATTCCTGGAAAGAAAAGAAAAAACCTGAGCCAGGCACCGTTTTGCATCGCTTTAGATGCCTACCTACATTGTTAAAAGTTCCTTTTTTGGTGATAAGTATTTATTATGTAAATATTGGCGGTATGGATCAATGACATTAGTCATTAAAATGCTAAAAAAATCCTGCGTGTAAAAATTCTATCCGTTCATTAAACGAGATTGCAAGGAAAAGGATGTTGGTGTTGGTAACATGTTTTTAGAATGATTTCGATATAAGCATAACAACAAATACCTAATGCCTTTTTTGCTTAACCCGCGCCCCACTGGGGTCTGCGTATAACACGCCCTACTGGGGGGGGGGGGGGCTATTCATAGCCCCCCCCCCTCCTAACTCCGAAACTACTGGGCCGATCGTCAAAATTCAAACGGCGTCTGATAGCCCCGGAAAAACTGTCGAGCGAAACCTAATTTCATTGACCTCGAGGTCACCGATGACGTCTCAGATCAGGTCAAAGTGAAAATTATTAGCATTTTGGCTTCGTCACGTTTTGGGCTCTGGCCGCCGTCTTACAAGTCAGATCAGGCTCATTTTTGGTTCACACACTCGTGAACAGATGCTCTAGATACTCTGAGGGTACCAAACTTGTACTTTGATTTTCAGGTCAAGGTCAGGTCATCACAGGTCACGAAAATATTATATCATCCGTCGGTCACGTGACACATGTTTTATGGTCTATTTAGGCCAAACATTTCGAATTTGATGTCGTCTGTGTCATTCGAGGTCATTTTGAGTCAAATTTAGCTTAGGTCAGGTCACTTTTAGGTCAAAAAAGGTCAAATTTTCAAGTTAAATTTTTCAACAAAAAAGGTGTCTATTGGATGCAGTTTGAGCTCAGGAACACGATGGTGCTATTTATATTGGCGTACGATGTCAAATTCGTGCTGAAAAATTGATTTGAAAAATTAATAATTGTTAATTTTTTGCAATAATGCGTATAACTTGACCATTTGTGAAGATATTTAGCTAAAACTTGCTAGAGTTAGTCATAATAATGCGTTCTATCACATATATTCCGTTTTTTTCGAAAAGTCAAAAACTTTTTGAAAAAAATGTAAAAATATAAATTTTGAATTTTATTATGTTAAATTTTCAAAATTTTCAAAATGTTGAAAATCCGAGATAAGAGTTTGATAGCGCAGTCGATTCTGAGTCCTCTCATGCAAAGAAATTGGTTCTAGCTTAAAAACTGAGCTCTTGGGAGCGATTGCCATGGTTCAATGTTTTGCGTCGAAATCGGCCGAACATGACGTCACTCTGACGTCATTTCCGGCCGACCTATGGTAGGTACGAAGTTCAAATTTTGACACAAGGTGTCAAATTGATGCAGCCGAAGGTACTGAAAGTTTGGCGTCGATACGTCAAGCGGTTTGGAAGTTATTGCAGAAAAACGGGAGGGGGGGCTATAAATAGCCCCCCCCAGTGGGGCGCGGGTTAATAACCATCTTGTGATGCACGGGAATGTCTCTAAATGAAAAACACCACACGCATCCAGCTTGCATCGTGATTTCAGGGGCGACACAATCATTGCCGGCTGATGCTACAGCAATACCTAAATTCAGAAGAAAGGAACTGCGGTACCCAGCTGGAGCACTTTTGAATTTTTAATGTAGGTATAATAATGATTTTCAGCCGGACGGTCCGTTCAAAATTACTATATTTAATTACAATTGGTGTCAATTGATAATGTTGGTCGGCCTGTCGGATAATTCGGTTGGTCGCTCCATCAGTCGACCGGTCGGTCCGTCGGTCGGTCGGACGGTCAACTGCCAGCGGAGTGTTGTTTAATGACGCCTGCCGAGGGGCGTTGACGCGGCCGTGCCATTCTGGGCCCGGATGTGACGCCGTATTTTTAATATAGCGCTCCACTCGCCATCCAAGAAGGTGTATTGTGATTAATGAAGCTGTGAATTGGTATCAAGGCGCTGATAAACAAATCATTTGGCTGAGACAGTGAGACGCTCTCACTCACTTCAAGGGTTTCCTTTCACATAATGAGGCTGCTTTCCTTCGCATTCTTTGATTTCTTTGAAGGAGGTCTATTTTATAATCTAATGATGATCACACCGATTTTGGTAGGTCTGAGACTGCGGCACACAGAGCTTCATTTAACTTACAGGGTCCGAACTTCATTTTACTTCAGCAAAAGAAAAAAATAGTCTCATAATGCTGTCAAACCCGTACATTTGCAAAGCTCAGCAGACCCCGTCATCCGCAAACAGCACGAGGACAATAAGGGGGAAGGTGGCGGGTTTTGGGTGGCCGCGTGACTACTGAGACCTTACTGAAACTACACGGCGTGCAGACTTTATGGAACAATGTCACCAGGGACTGACCGGCTACACGGGCTGCCGATTCAGTTCGTGTCTACCGACTGCATCCATCAGCCAACCACAGTCAGTCCGAGCCCATTGGAATACGAAGGCGTAGTCCTCTCAGGTCACGTGTCGGCGCGTTTCAATGTCACGTGCCTTGTGTCATATGTCGGCCAAGTCACAGTACACGTGCCGGGCGTTTGCGGCGCGTGCGGGTCGATTGTAGAATACCCTACGCCTCCCATTACCACCCCTCCCGGTCCCGCCCACTAATCTCTTCATTAGCTGGGGGGGGGGGGGATAATGAGGGCCGGTGGGTTCGGGCGGGCGGCGATGGGCCGACGCGCGCAGAAGCCGTGACACGTGCCACTTCTACAACTGGAAGCATAGGGTGGCCGAGATGGTACTGGTTGCAATAGAATAAAAATATATGAAAAGGAAGGATATGACCCTCCATGATAATTACAAAGTGAGTTACGAGACAGCGCTCTTATTTGATTTGTCTGAAGTTTCATCTGTTCTGATGGCAGCTTCTGTCGCTGTTCGGAAAAAATGCGACTTAAAATTAAAATTATAAACGAAGTTCTAAACGCTTTGTTGGAGTCACCCTGATTCGATAAGCATTCGCCTTTTCTCGTTTTCGCTGCTACCGAACTTTAGACTGGGGAGAGGCCTGGTGGCCACAAATGCAAATGCTAGCTCCAGCTGCCCAACAACTGCCCAACAGACCACAGCTCACTGGTATGATTGTTTTCTACAATTCCTCCCGTTGTATTTGCTAATTGTACGACACAAAGCTGGTTAGCATACCTCACGGCCTCGGCAGTTTCTTTGTTGTATGGTCTAACCCGCGCGATGCCGGGATCTACACTCAGCATTGATCCTCTGGGCCCAACCCTCCGCGCTCTCTGGGCCCTCCTCTGCCTCCCCCAGCCTCCCCACTGGGCTCCCCAGCCGACTGAATCGCTGACATGGCGCATCATTCTCCTCTCGGAGCGCGCTCCATACAAACGACATGAATAATTCAGCCCGACTCCCGCTGGGAGGCCGGGTTTCGGCGGGGCGTCTCGCCATGGGGGGACGAGCTGCACTCCG